GTGGTTCTCAACCTGTGGGTCGCAACCCCTTTGGCGGTCTAACAACCCTTTCACAGGGGTCGCCTAAGACCATTCCGCATATCAGATATTTACATTACAATTCATAACAGTAGCAACATTACAGTTATGAAGTAGCAACGAAAATAATTTCATGGTTGGGTCACAATATGAGGAACTGTATTTAAAGGGCCAGAAGATTGAGAACCACTGGCTTAGCGTATTGCTAGATACATTAATGAGCATTCATTACATATAAGCTGCTAGTATTACCAGGTGAGGGAGGGTCTAGAGGAGTCTGAATGTATTTAGTAGGGAATAGTGAGCCTTTGTGTCACCAGTTCAGTACTCATACCTTGGCTCTGAATCGTATTGAAGTTTTGCATATTTGTATAACCTCCCTAATGTGACCGTTCACTCCTGAGAGGCATATTTCTACCTTTTGTTATGATGTCTCAGTGTCTATGACAGTTGTGGACCCAAAGTAGGTATTTAGTGAATAATTCATTTTCTCAGGTGAGAGACACCGACGCTGCTTTAGCCTGTAGTATTAATAACAAAAACATTTTCACACAAATACAAAGGTAAATTCTTGCCTAGAAATAATCATGTGGACTGTTATCTCCTAGTTTGCTGGTGGCTATAGTACTTCTCTTCTGTACTTATAACTCCGGAATATGACCTGGAAATTTAATAGACATCAGAAACCATTTAACATTTTTAATAATAATAATACATACATACATACATATGTAACTGGGAAATTTTTCAGACATTGCAGAGTGTATGAGATAAAATATGAAATCACTCCTCTCCCAATTTCATTCCCTTAGTGTTTAAGTATAATGATTGTTTTTGTTTAATAAAAATAAAAAACATTCCTATAAGTAACAAAATAATCTATCAAGAATTGCTTCTTGATCTCCCTTTTCTGCCTTTCATCTCTTTGAAACACACAGTACTGAGGCTACAAGTGGATCCTACAGAATGTTTTTGCCTTTCTTCCCTCATCTCCCACTGCTAATTGATGTGTTTATTTAGTTGGCTGAGCCAGCTTCATGGAGACTACCCCTGTGGGAGTGTGAAGACTGTGTACTTGTGTGCTAGAGGATCATTCCCAACAGGGCTGGGTTGGGGAGCGGAGCCCAGGCAGAGCATTCCCAGTTCCCTTTGCCATGTTATTCATAACTGGAAAGAGAGTCTTTTAGCCTTTACCTGTCATTTAGTGGACCCTCCCTGTGCCCTGTAAGATCGTATTTATGCCTGCAGTTGGAGTATGGATCTGTGGAGACCTTTGGTACTCTTAATCTCTTTCATTCACCAGTCCATCTGAATTTGAATGTTCACTTTCATATCTGTCTTCAGGCCAGTAAATCCTGCAAGGGCTTCTGAAGCATAGTGCTTCATGTAGGTAGGTGAGTGGGTGGGTGGGTGAGTGGGTAGGTAGGTCGATAGAGATAATAACATTGAGTTGATTGAAGGAAAGGACAAGAGTTGTTTTCCTTCCTCTTAGGATGCCCAGAACGGCTACGGAGAAATCATCTACAATAGCCCAACATTAAGATAATGAAAATAATTTATACAGTGATGGGTGACAAAGGTAGACTTTTCCCCTGAAAAATTATGAGTAAAAATTTGAAGTTTTCATAGCATAATGTCTAAGAACTAAACAAAGGGAAGATTTTTATGTAAAGCAAACTTTCGTACCATGTAGAAATTATTCTTGGACACTGGAGACTGCTGAATTTTGATGTTATGTAACTTTAAAATGAAAGACCGTTATCAATCTTTATCTCTAGGGAATGTCACTCTCATTTTCTTAAGAATAGCACAATATGCCCTGACCGGTTTGGCTCAGTGGATAGAGCGTCGGCCTACAGACTGAAAGGTCCCAGGTTCGATTCCGGTCAAGGGCATGTACCTTGGTTGTGGGCATATCTCCAGTAGGAGATGTGCAGGAGGCAGCTGATCGATGTTTCTCTCTCATCGATGTTTCTGACTCTCTGTTCCTCTCCCATCCTCTCTGTAAAAAAAATCAATAAAATATATTTTTAAAAAAAGAATAGCACAATAATTCAGTGCTTCAGCATTTGGCTTCCTCTTAATTGATTCCATTTTTCTTTTCATTCTCTTATATTAAAAATACTTTATAGGCTTTGTTACAAAAGTAACATATGCTTATTATTAGGAGTACAATAGAACTTGGGGATTTGGGATAGATATGTTTGCTGTTTGATTGTGGTGAGGGCTTCATGTGTGTACATATGAAATTTGTACATATATGTCAAGTGGGCCATATTGTACACTATAAATAGATGCGGTTTATTGTATGCCAGTTACTCCTCAATAAAACTTTTTAATTTAATGACTAAAATATGGACTTATTTTGTTGTTAATATGTATTTTCATTTGTTAGAGATTGAGCATTTTTATTGGATCAGCCATTTGTATTTCATCTTCTGTGAATAATTCAGTTTGTCTCTTTTTCTGTTGTATTTCTTTTCACTTTGTGTAACTTACTCTTGCATTAGTAATGATAAAACCCATTGTGTCTTTCTTACCTGTTGACAATATTTCCCCCTGGTTGGCTTACTTTGATTTTGAGGTCCATTTCTCCCCCTTTCTTTTTCCCTCCCTATGACTCCCCCTCTCTTTTTTCCCTTCTGGTTTTTAGGTTTCCTGTCTCACTTAAGATTTTTCCAGACTCCAGTTATACTCCCAAGTTTTTTATTTTTATAGTTGTAGTTGTTATATTAGATTTTATTCCTTCTGGAATTTTTTTGGTGTGGGCTATAAGCTAAGGGGTTAATTTTATTTTCTTTCTGGAAAGTACCCAACTTTTACAAATACCGTAGGATAAATACCTCCCCTCCTCCAACACACACACACACACACACACACACACACACACACACACACACTGAATTGAAATACCACCTTTATCTTCTATTAAGTTTCCAGATAAGCTCCACTCTTTTTTAGGGTTGTCATTGTTCCATTAATCCCTTTGTATATTCTTACTGTTTAATCACAGTAGTTTCACAGCAAGTGTTAATACATGATAGAGCATGCCCCTCTTGATAGTCTGTCCTTTTCCAAAGTTACCTACTGGTTTTTCATATACAAATTGGAAAGGTATTTAGTCCTAGTTCCTTCCCCAGACACATTTGCTTCTGATTGGAAATGACATTTTATTTTTGGAAGGATTAACATTATTATATGAAGTATCTTCTTCATTTATAATAGCCTTTGTACATTTTTTTCTGTTTTATTTTATGCAGAATAACTGATTGTAGTATTGGTGGTTGATTCTTCCTTTAAAAATAGTGTGAGGCCCTAACTGGTTTGGCTCAGTCGATAGAGCGTCGGCCTGCGGACTCAAGGGTCCCAGGTTCTATTCCGGTGAAGGGCATGTACCTTGGTTGCGGGCACATCCCCAGTGGGGGGCATGCAGGAGGCAGCTGATCGGTGTTTCTCACTCATTGATGTTTCTAACTCTCTATCCCTCTCCCTTCCTCTCTGTAAAAAATCAATAAAGTATATTTTAAAAAATAGTGTGAGATCTTTCTGTAATTTTGGATGCATTTTGTTTGTGATAGTGTGAGTTTTAATGGCCATCAAGTTAATGTTAAAAGCCTGACATGAGGTTTAGAAAATGCTTCTGAAGGTTCCGTTTCCTGCAGCTCTCAGTGGGTAGAGGATCCCTTCTTGAATTGAGGGGGAAGAAGGATAATTGGGACGAGAGAGAAAGGAAACATTACTTCCTTGTTTGAAGGAAGTGATGCTCATGATTAGGCGGAAACCAAGTGACATAAACCCAGATTTTCTTTGATCCCCAATGATTTGATGTCTAAAGTGTGGGGTCAGGGGGGAGGGGAGTGTTGATCTAAATGCGAACATTTTTTTAAAAAAATATATTTTTATTGAGTTTTTACAGAGAGGAAAGGAAAGAGATAGAGAGTTAGAAACATCGATGAGAGAGAAACATTGACCAGCTGCCTCCTGCACACTCTCCACTGGGGATGTGCCTGCAACCAAGGTACATGCCCTTGACCGGAATCGAACCTGGGACCTTTCAGTCCGCAGGCCGACGCTCTATCCACTGAGCCAAACCGGTTTCGGCAAAATGCGAACATTTTGAAGCCATCTCTACCTATAACTTCCAGAAGGACAGTGGTTGAAGACTGCAGATTTGCGCAGTAAAATTACGGCTTTACTTTTCATTGAATAAAATGGGAGGTCAGGAGGTGAATTGTTGAGGAGGGAGGGTTTTGCCAAATCTATTACACAAAATTTAAATTGGGATTTTGTATGTGAGCTTAAAGAACAGAAGTAAGAGAAGGACTGTGGAACTAAAATGGCTTATAATAATTTCTATAGTTAATGCATGTTCTTTATGATATTTCAAATATTACACTAGATCCCAAGCAAGCATGTGGGAATGGATATTGTGTGGAGGAATCCTGCTGTGTTGTTAATCTGAATTCTATGCTCTTAAATCGGAAAGTCTCTGTTGTGTGGTTTTGAGAATTTAATTTATAATGTCATTCTACCTATTGTTATAAATTGTAATTTAATGAATTTGATTTGTTCCCCCCTACGAATTACTAAAGGAATAGAATGCCCTAAAGAAAATACTAATGACACAAACAAATTTCAACTCATAACTTACTTTGAGTGAGAAATTTCCTGGCATTTTTTAAAACTTGAAGGAAAATTTTTGATTCTGGCAACTAGTTAACTTGAATATGGTCATGGACCTGTCTAGTAACCACAAATTGACTGAAGTTTGGTATGTGTTTGTGTGAGCATACATCTATATATATTTGTGTGTGTGTGTGTGTGTGTGTATAATATTTCCCCCAATTGTAAGGCAGTGTTATAGTTTACCTAAGCAGTGAAGGAGTATTCAGATAATTTTGTATACTCACCTTAAAAATAATTACGGAATGAGAATTTAAAGTCACTTTTTCTCATTTTTTTTTTCTCACTGTTTCTTATAGGGTAACCAGGAGCCAACAACAACTCCTGATGCAATGGTTCAGCCTTTTACTACCATCCCGTTTCCACCTCCTCCACAGAACGGAATTCCCACAGAATATGGAGTGCCACACACTCAGGACTACGCCGGCCAGACCAGTGAACATAACCTGACACTCTACGGCAGTACACAAGCCCACGGAGAGCAGAGTAGCAACTCGCCCAGCACACAAAACGGATCTCTCACGGTACGTGGATTATGAGGTGGACGGTGGAAAGGTGCATGTCATCTTTGAGATCGTCACCTTAATCGTCATACCAGAAACCCTTTTGAATTAATTTAGCATTTACATTACACTACATAGCATTTATGTCGCTTCAGTTCTACTCCAAGTATTGCAATTAGAAGATAAGGATTTAGCATTCAAACTCACAGCCCCAGCCCAGGAGCTTACAGTGTCGAGGTGGATCAGTTTAACAAGGTAAGTGCAGTGGTGAGACTAAGCTTAGGGGGATGCTGCTCTTTTACATTTCACCAGTAGCTTTCATTCTGCACGTTGCCTCCTCCCTTGAAATGCTTCGTCTGTTGGCCTTTGTGACCCCACTGTTTTCCTCCTCAGCCGTGGGAGTTCTTTCTCAGTCTCTTTTGCTGGTTCTTCCTTCCCTGTTCAGCTTTTACTAGTAAATGTTGCATTTCTTTAGGCCTGGATCCTAGGACCCCTTTTCTCCTATTGTAAACCTTTCTATATGTAATTGTATTACTAAATGTATCTGGTTTCTCAAGCAAAACCTGTGACTCATTCTTTTTTTTTCTCCTTCATCTCTACATCTCATCCACCAGCAAGTATTGGCAACCATACTTCAAAATATTTTCTTACTTCAACCTCTTCTCATTATTTTAAGAATACAGCTGGATAGTGTTCACGACTAAGAGCTGAGCTCTTCTGCCAGATTTCTTGGGTTTGGGTCCTAATGTGGCCCTTACTTAGCAGTGTGACCTTGGGCCCGTTATTTAATCTTTCTGCCTTGGCTTGCTCACCTGCAAAGTGAAGACAGTGGTACCTACCTCAAGTCACTTTTGGGAGATTTAAAAGAGTTTAAGTTGTGTAAGGTAGTTATCATCATCATCACTCCTCTGATTCAGACCTCATCACGTACCCGTATTTCTTGTGTTGCTGTCGCCAGTCTCCACATAGCAGCCAAAATAGGTGTTTGTTGTTGTTTTTAATGTAAATAATGTTGTTTTCCTGCTTGACTCTAGTGGTTCCCCAACATACTCAGAATAAAATCCAGACTCTCTACTTGCTTTACTAATCCCTGGCCCCAAACTCTTTGCCTTCACTTCTTACTACTCACTTACTAAAGTAAAGGAAATGTCTTAAATTAACAATAGGTTTGTATCACCTATATAATATTGTCTGTGGGATTGTGTAGTATATTTCTGACACTAAAAGCGTTCTACACTCTACATAGAAAGATCTACCTGTAATTTTTAGATTATTTTGCCTTTCCTCTATCAGATTGTCAGGAGATGAACTTTATTCAGCCATTAAGCCATATGATAAGATTTGTTTGAGTTTGTTTTAAGTATTTTGCCTGGACTTAAGCTACTTTGTGGTATGCAGCTACTAATGTTTCTGCATAGTGATTTTCACTCTCGTTTTTACTTTTAAGCCTGACTAGAAGTTGCCCCTGTGTCTGCATGGCTTAGTGGTCAGCCAGTCATCTGGGCAGAGGTGCTGAAGCATCTCCAGCTTGTGAAGCTTTCACCATCTATTTGTGGGGGGGAAGCATATTCGGAGTTCAGCCAGTTCTCAAGTTTGCCTTGGGTTTTTCTTTCTCGTGGGGCCTCTCTTATCTCCCCTTCATCTGTACAGATTCATAGTCAGTGAGGAGAGTGTATCCAGCTCCTCTGTGATTGTGTCATTTCCAGGGTCTCCCCTTTAGATTTCTGGCTGGCCCACCACTCACTCACCCCGGTTAGACCACAACCTCAAACTAGAAAAACTGTATTTTCCATTAGGTTTCTACTAAGTTTGCCACTTTCCACTGACAGCTGTGGGTTTTCTGCTGTCTCCTTCAAATGCCCCTGTTTGAGTGTACTGGTTTGCTTGGCCCCAGCCCTGGGCTGATAAAAAACCAAGGTCTCCCCAGCACTGCTGAGGGCTGGGGGTGGGTTAGTGGGTTAGAATAGCCCTAGGCAATAAGTTTGTAGACTCCTGCTATGCTGGGGTCCTGCCCCAGCAGGTCCAGGGGTCCCCAAAGGTGTGGACGGAGTCGGCGAAATAGGAATGACACGGAGACAGCGTTCAGTTGATCAGCAGCCTTGCCAGGATCTCTAGCCACAATCTCCAGCCAAGTTCTGTGTCCATGTTCTCTTGCTAGGTTCTCCAGCCACATTATCCAGGTTCTCCAGCCAGGTTCTGTAGCCATGTTCTCTCGCTAGGTTCTCCGGCCAGGTTCAGTCGCCAGGTTCTGTAGCCGGCTTCTGCAGCCAGGTTCTGTCTAGGTTCTCCAACCAAGTTCTGTAGCCAGGTTCTGTCCAGGTTTTATTCCCTCCCTAACTTCAGGGGAAAATCCCTACCTGGGGAAACAACCTTTCTCAGAGAGGTGACCTTGGTTAAAACACATAGTGCCAAGAAGGTGACCAAACATATTAAGAACAGTATGCCATATATGCCAGGTCCCTTGAAACAGCAAGGATGGACCGGCTTCCGGCACTGCTAGTCTTACTCTAAGCTCTAGCAATTTTACAAAAAAATTTCTCTGTTTATTAATTGCCTTTGATTGATTTCCAGAACCCTGAATGACTGTTGGACAACTTCGTCCAGTGTTCTTATTGTTTTCTTGTTTTGAGAAGAGGATTCCCTGACCTGTTCATGCCATCATAGCCAGAAGCCCTTTCCCATTTCATGATAGTTTACAATTACTCACTGCATCTGCTCACCACTGCCTGTTTCTCTTCCTCTTTTTTCCCTATTGCCACCATTTCCCATTGTTTCAGGCTCCTGGATTGTATGTTTCTGAATGATAGTATTAAAGGCGAGCTCTGCTTCTAAATATAAATCTATACAATTAGGACCACTTTTTCTGTACAGTTTGGCATTATATTGACCAATTTGTATTCCTGAAGAAATATTGAAATAATATTAGAAATCCATGTGCCACCCTAATAATGTTTAGATTGTGAATTTATTGGTGCTGAGGAGAAAATGGAAAGTCCCTTTCGAGCTGTGTCTACTAACAGATAGCACAGATTTTATAATTTGGGAAGTTGCTAACAATAAAATGGTAAATTATTAGGGATCTCTGTTGACGGTATTATATTTTTAAGTGTTCATTTTAAACATGAGTGAATTCGCTGCTCTTAAGCCACTTGCCTTTGGTAGTTGTATGTGTGTGTGTTCTTGGGGGATGTGTGTATATAGAGAGATTGAGTAGTTGAGCAGTGTATCATAAAATCTGGATTTGACAACATTACATATTATTCTATTAAACTTTAACTACCTAATTAAATGTTTCTTAAAACGGGTAGTCTGGTGATTCCTGTGGCCAATTAAATTCAAAAGGTAGATAGGAGCATTGTTATTTATAAGTAAATGATATCTTAACTTTACATAAAACTTTTTAGTTTAAAAATTGCTTCCACAAACAGTATTTTATTGTGGTTCATAAAGTAGCCCTTTGTGGTATGTTAAGGTATTCAAAGTCCATACTTTCCCCGCCCGCACTCTCCCTCCCGCTGCACAGCAGAAGGCAGTGTGGCTCTGCACTGGTCCTCTAAGCCAGCGGTCGCCAACCTTTCCGACCTCACAGATCACGAATGGTCCGCAGACTACCGGTTAGTGACCGCTGCTCCAAAGGTTTCCTTAAACCAGTAGTTGCCAACCTTTCGGACCTCACAGACCACCAGTGGTCTGCGGACCACCGGTTGGCAACCGCTGCTCTAAGCAGGCTCTTGACCTCGTTTCCCACTCAGCCAAGTCAGCTCTGCTGGAATCCTTGCCTAGCGTGCCAAGTGAAGCTGGATTTGTGTATTCTTGATTTAGGCTCAAGTAGAGTTCTAAGCTGACCACTGTGTGTGGTACTTACAAGGTGTGATTATTCTGTACTTTTGTCTCCCTAACTAAATTGTAAGCCTTTAAAGAAAAAGGTATTTTTGTTCATCTTTGCATTCCCTGATTTTTCACATACTTGGTCCTTAATAGTGACTCAGTAAATATTTCTTGGGGGAAAAATGAAAGAAGATACAGGTGTGCCAGGAGAGATCTGAGGAGAGAGAAGGGGGGGTGGGGGTGCTTCTCGGTGGGATGGTGGCGATCTGGGCCTTGTATTGAGAGTGATTAGAATTTGAACATGCGTAGGTGGTGGTGGAAGAATAGGAATGTCATTTCTCAAAGCAAAGGTGGAGAAATGGAAAAGATCAAAATATCTTTGAGTGAAAGCATGGGTTTCCGTTCGGCTAAAGTTGTGGGTGCTGAGGCATACTAATGGGGAGTAAGCTGGGAGGGGGTCACTGGAGTACCTGTTGGAAAGAGCGCTTGAATACCTAACTGAGAAATGACTTCATTGAAGGTTTTTGTGCAAATCAATGGAGTGAGAATTGTGCTCTCAGAAGATGAATCTGCTGCATATACAAGATGAGCAGAGAAGCCAGGACACTCTTAGGAAAGAGTCTTAGGCTTGGAGTTGATAATGAGGTTCTGGATTAGGGGGTTGCAGTGCTTATGTAGAGGAAGGAATTAAAGAGAAATTATGAAGGTAGTATATACAGGACTTGACAGCTGACTGGATGAGTAAAATAAGATCCTTATCAAAGATTGTGTGATCCTTATGCAATAACTGTGTCTTGAATAAATCATTTTACCTCCCAAGTTGCAGTTTCCTCATCTATCAAATGAATATATCTGATAGGATTAGAGTGAGAATAAATTATATATGTTTGGAAATTACTTGTTTAAATAGTTCTTTAAGATAATTGCCTTTTAAATCAGTTGTTCCGATTGATGTCACTTACATGTGCTTTTTTTTTATTATTGTGAGCTACAACAGTATTTTAATACTGGTCTTGTTTATGTTGGATAGTCCCATCTTATTGATGGGGAGAACAAAAGAAAGGACTCCTCATACAAAAAGGAGAAATAAGCAATGAAATCTGGAATTTTCTCTCTAAAATGTTTTTAGAAATTGATTTTAACATTGTGTTCTTAAAATGAGAGCTTGTTTTGACAGTCAGTTGGTCTCATAC